GAAAACAGTTTTAATGCAAAATTTTCATCGGACAAAATGTGCTTTTTCTGATGCTGTAGATCAAACCTGTTTCTGAATTAAGCAGAAACTTTAATAATGTACAAAGTTACGTTTGAATATAACTTTTATTACCAAAGATCACAAACATTATGACAATTATGTCACCGAGTTAAACGGACATTCATCGTTATCCAGTGGATGTCATCAAGTATAAGGGGCATTCATCATATCCAGGAGATGTCATCTACCCAAGAAAATGTCACCGAATTGGAGGGATATTCAACCCATTTTACGAGATGTTGCCTTAATGAAGAAATGATGGTCAAGTGGATTCGTTTTATCAAACATAAAGTTAAAAGAAATTAAACATCTGTGTGTTGTGTGTTATTTTTTATTAATAAATAGACATAACTCATTGTGTCAATAGTTCGAATGTATACAAAATCTGTTTAATTGATATATTAACTTATTATGCATTTATGAATTATAAAACTATCAGTGTGTAGTGGGCGGACAATAATATCTTTTTACAAAATTGTTTAAACTATGAGAAAAACAAATACATTTTCTTCATTTGAAAAAATTAGACATTTTCACATTGACAGAATCACACTTTGTGCATAAAGAAAAATGCATAAGTTAATGTAATACAATAATTGCCAGGTATCTTGGACAATATAATGTTTTAGTGGCACTCTAACTAACTAATTGCTATTACCAAATATGAACTATACTGTATTCGTATCAACATTTTTCCATAAGGCTTAGAGGTTTATTGATATTTTATTTAACTTTTATGCAACTCGTCAAATGTTTCCTTTAAAAAAAACAAATACATTTTCATGAAAAAATGACTAGAGAAACAGTAATAAAGAAAAATGCTTAGAGTTAAAAATATTCAAATAAAGCCAGGATCTTGGATAAGTTTTATAGGTTGCAGAAATCAATACTGTATTCGTATCAACATTATTTCTATTAAGGATAAGAGGGTTCTTGATATTTTATCTAACGAAACTCGTCAAATTTTCTTGTTTACAAATTCTATGGAAAAATAATTTATTACCCTTCCCTTATAACAATAATGCGAATTTTCATCGCAGATATATTATTATTTTTTTTATATATTCATTATTCCGAAAAGTGCGCACACAGACGATATGCCGTTATTTGCTTGCATTCAGTGACATAACTTTATATAAAGAAAACGGTACGGTTTAAGCTTTATTGTGCCCTAAAAATTAAATGTTCTTAAAAAGTTATGGAATTGGCTTTAACAATAGTTGAGTAGATGAACATGATTAACATTAAAGAATAAGGCATTAAGAAGAGCCTTTCTCGAAAATATGACGTCATAAATATGGTACATTGTTAAGTTTAATGCATAAAAGCTTCAAAATGACTCGTTTTTATGCTTATTTTCCTTATTGCCTACTTTAATTTTTGGATATATTATACAAATAGCTATGAAAAATCACATATCTCAAAATCTTTCTGGGTGACGGTGGCAAAGTTTGTTTTCTGAAAGAAAATTCCACTGAAAATTGAGGTCTTCTGCAACTTTTTAAGAAAATACTGGAAAATGCACACGTTAATGACGTCACAATTGGCATGTAAGAGGTCATATGAGAAAAACCATTTGTGTATTCGTATTTCAGAGAATTCCTATGATTCATAAAGAATTAGATTTAATTTCTTATATCATTTTCATATTTTAGAAAAATATAGGGCTTTATTTGTATTGAAACTGTACCTTCCTCCTTAAATTCTCGAAGTTTTTTACTTTAACCCATTTGAAAAAAAATCAACCATTTCTTAAGTCATCAAACATAATTATAAGTGCTTGCATTCCCCATGACATAACTATAATTATGAAAAAAAAATTAATTTTCAAGACAAGGAGCATACAGGTGAGTGTAAGAAGTCGGCAGGGGATGCTCACTACTCCATGACACCCGATCCCACCTCTGATGTTTCAGAAGTCCGTGTTTGCTCTGCTCCTGTTTTGTATTGTTTAAAGGATTTTTGATCTTGAATTGCCTACGCAACGTCTTGGTTAAGAAGTCCCATCAGGACTTTAGATCACATAATATTTTATTCATAGCCGAGAATCATGGATATTTTTTTATTTTTATAAATGTACGATTTTTGTATTCATATTCGTTTTTTTAAAGAAGTTTTCCAAAGTTACTAATACGAAGGGCTATCAAAAAGTTCGTGAACTGAGGTTATAAAATTAGTACTATGTAGTTTGTTCTTTCAAAATTTAGATGGAACATAAAACGACACAAAATAAAGAAATGTTGAAAATTTTAGCCTGATACATTCATTATATGCAAAATTATTTTAAAATGAAAACGACATTATATGAACACCCGGCGCTAGCTGTCCTTGTTTATTTTCATGACGTCCGATAACGTCATTGTTTTTTTTAAATGTCCTCCTTTTCTACCTCATATACTTTTTTATGAGATTCCCTGGAGCTGAGAAAGGAATTAAACCCGCATTGTTTATATGACTTTACAATGTCATGGACAGTGGCCTTCAATGAATATGATATTCCAGATGAATTGATATATTGGGAGAGATCTGCTCTGGATTGTTCCGGCATATTTTGTTTTTGGGAGCTCAATATCTTCAACACATGATAAACGTCATTTTTGACGGGATTGATTTTTCACATCTTGACTGCAAATTGACATTAACTGTGTATCCCCTTATTCTCTGAATCTATTCTGACATTAAAAAGACAGGTACTCTGGATTGATATTATTCTCTGTAGCTAGTTTCAACATATTTTAGGTCTATACTATTTTTTCAGGGGCAAAACTTATATAGAATGTTTGAAACGGAAACCCTTCCCCTTTGACGTCATTTTCAAGGCCTCATTTGTTTGGATATTCCGTGTAAAAATTACAATAAGATTTCATAGAACTTCCAGAATCAAGTTAAAATTTCATATTTTACAGAACAATTGTGTCCCGACAGATACCTCAACAATGGGATTTTTGGATGTCAAATAATTTTATCAAATGAGTTTTTCTCAGTTACAAATAGTTTAAAAAACGCCGTTTTTGAGGTTGCGCCGCCTTGACATACCATTGCTTACAGAATCATTACTACATGTAATTTATTTAAAAAAAAATCATGATTTGTGGTTTATTCTTTGGATAAAAAAGATGACGCTAACTAGATATTTCAAAAATCATTGATGTACCATGAGCTGTTTATATACAATTTTAATTTTATGGCGCTAGTCCACGAACTTTTTGATAACCCCTCGTACATCTTACAACATTCTTTTAAAAAAGTCTTCTTTGGTTAATTTCTTCAGAAATAAATATTTATTCCTTTTCCTTTGAAATAAAAATAATGAAAATATTTTTTTTATCTCAGATACGTTATTTTTACTTGGCTCTCCCAAAACATTCACATGAAACATGCGGCAAATAGATAAGTGAGGGAAGAGTGATATACCGCTAGGTACTAGCATTGCATTACATATCTATATTTAAATCTAAACTCTCGTAGTTGTCTGATTACAAAATGAATCCTATAACATGTTAAAGACCACATAAAAATTGCTTTCCCAAAAAATTAAATAAATAAGATAATAATAAATATGAATATATTTTGATTAGAAATATTACATGACATTATTATCAATATAACTATTTTCTTTTTCTATGAAAATATGAAATAGAATATAGACCTTAATGTTCCCGAGGCCTCAATAATGTCCTCTATTATCCATCTTTTATTTTATACATTCCTTTATATTCAGCGGTTTAGATGTTACCGAGTACAATTACTTTTACTTTGCATATACACCTAGTTAAATCCGCTCCTTTTCTTAATTCTTAACGGGCCGTAACTCAGGTTTGTTTTGGTTTATATTTAGAATAGGAGTGCCATGTAAACAAAAAGTATACCAGCAAAGAAAAATACTTTTCTTCATACAATGTGTCACAATAACTGCGTACATGTATATATAGATAATTGTTCCAACATTTCTTATCAGAACATGAATGAAGAGGTAGTTCTATGTCATTTAATTATTTATTTTTTAGAAAATATATCTGTATAAAAATAAATCTATACGCTTTTTAAAAAAAAAAATGTTGGTAAATGAACGCTGCATTCGTATTCGATCGAAAGAATCAAAGATTGCTGGCCTTACTATTATATCACTATTATACTATTGAATTTAAACAACGTCTTTATTTATTTTTATCTTCCCACGGGAAGGATATCAATTCGGATGTAAAAAAAAATTAGTGTAATTTATTAGAGTTGAGATATAGTTTTTTTTTTCTTTTCTTTAACATTTTTGTGAGTAAAGGTTTAAGTTATGACAACACAAACTAATTCTTAATTAACATTATATAATCAGATAACTCTAAATTCAATGAATATTTAGTGAGTTTCAAAGAAGATTGAAGAAGTTCCGTCCCTTTCCAATTTCTCCATGCCAGTAAGTGCTGCAAAAATTTAGAGGCATCAAGTTTAAAAACACCCCATAGCACTTAGCGGCAAACAAACAATGTATATGATGAATAATTTTTAATTGCTTTGCTAATTTATTTCACAAATGCTTTCTATTTCTTCGAAATAAAAATATCTAATCATGCTACCAACATGAGAAAAGCTTGAACTTTTACTAAACTTAATAGAAAAACGCGATGAAACCAGCAAGTGTCAACAGTCACGATATGCCGCTAGATTTTAACTTTGACATAACTTTTACAAAATACTTTAAAAGTGTGCTTTTTGGCAGAATGTGTTTGGGGTTACATATTTTTGGTTTCACGTATTGCAAAGATGATTAATATATTGATTTAGTATATTATTACAAAGTTTTCGGTATGAAGCAGTAAGTAAAATATATTAAAAGTTTGAAACAATTTGAACCAATTTTGATAGATACATTCATTTACATGTAGTCATATATTCAATTGCATTTAGGTATTTACGAAAAAAAGTGCAAAAAATTCTTTCAGAGGTTAAGAAACTGAAGATTTTCTTTTTTCGATTTTCAGGAGGACTTCGTTCTTTGGTCTCAGAAGTGCTCCTGCATCAAGTTGCACAGGAATCTGCAATTGCAACAATGATATTAAATATTTAGATAAAATGTTTAAGAGTAATATGCCACATAGATACATAGCTGAATTAGACATTTTTCTCTTCCAGAAATATTGTGAATTTGACTCCAAATGTTGCCTTCAGATTTACTTTTTAAAATTTTCAAGATATCGTATTTTATTTTAAATAAGTAAGCAATTTATTCCAAAGCTGTTTTTGAGAAAGTCTGGATATACTGTAATTAAGTTTTGTATCCCCTCTTTATCGGGACATGAGAAAGAAACAATACTTCAACTAAACTAAATTACTGAATTAGGGGGAGAATTCGACCAGATAAAAAAACCATTTATTATATATATATATATATATATATATATATATATATCGTTAAAAAATTGTCTGAAAAGTAAAAATGTTCAAATGTTTAGGAAAAAGAAGACAACTAATGTGGCAAATAGCACTTAATGATATTATAAATGAAGGTACCCAATGGCTGAATATGAATGGTAACCAACGATTTGTGTTTGCATATCCAGTCAGAAAACAATTTGAGATTCTTTTGAAATTCCAATTTTGACTTTAAACAATTCTAACCGCTACAAGGGGAAAAAATACAAAATTATAATACATAATATAATATATTAAGATGATCTTGGCGATCTCAAAGAGAATTTACCAAACTTTTATTACTGACTGGACATCCAACTTGGGGTTCATTCATATAAATATACATGTATTGACTCATTATTGTGTACCAATCCTAGTGTTGGAATCTTTGATTTTCGAAATTTGAACTTATACGAGTTGTTGATGTTTGCCTATATATATTGACTTGGGTACTTGTGAGTTGTATTATGTGTCGATGGAGTAAATTCATACATGCCAAAAACAATACAAAAGTCGTAGAAAGGGAATTTTTTGTCAGTGACCTTGCAAAATTAAAACCCTATAAAAATAAAATGTATGGAAATATAATTCAAGAGATCAAAAGCACCTCTGTTTTGTCACAGGAGACAAACATGTATTCCTGTAATATAGTCACCAAGGCACACTTCGCTTCCATCAAGGCTAGTCGCATTGCAACGCAATTTCGTGGCCCCAGTCCAAACGGCAGAAATGCATTTGGCGTCAGGTTCGACTTGTTTTTTGCCAAAAACCTTACCAAAATCAAGCATGTGCCATATGAAAATGAAATAAATCTCAGAATATCACGAATATTATAATCAATTGATCCCCATGAGCATGAAAAAATTATAATTTTAGAAATAAAAAAAAAGCATAAAAAAATAAATGAAATAAGAATTAAAAAAAAAAGATTTAATTTCTGAAACAAAATAAAACTATGAAAAACATCTCTATGAAAAAAAAAAGATTCCGTTGCTACATGTGTATACCTGTCAGGGTAATATTTTTCGTGTTCTTTCCAGTACTTTGGACTTCTTTGTATAGCAAATATGGAGACGGACACTTCCGTGTTTTTTGGTATTCTGTAACCTGATATTTCCATTTCCTGATGGGTTTCTCGGAATGCTCTGTAAATCATGATATAAAAAAGGACAAAATATTGAATCGGAACTTCTGCATCTTAATTTCAAAATCAGTTAAAACATATTGAGAGACTTAAGTCGGAATTAACTATTGTGGTGATTATATCTGTTATACTAGTATATCATATATCATGAGAGAGAGAGAGAGAGAGAGAGAGAGAGAGAGAGAGAGAGAGAGAGAGAGAGAGAGAGAGAGAGAGAGAGAGAGAGAGAGAGAGAGAGAGAGAGAGAGAGAGAGAGAGAGAGAGAGAGAGAGAGAGAGAGAGAGAGAGAGAGAGAGAGAGAGAGAGAGAGAGAGAGAGAGAGAACCTTTGAGCTGGTGGATATAATCGCATAGCCTCCTTAACAACACAGTCTAGGTACTCTAGCTTCTGAATGTTGTCGTAATCAGGTGTATCCTTTGTATGTAGAAAATAAAACTTATTTTACATGTAGATAAACATAAACATACAGAAAGTTTTTTTTAAAAAAGCTTATTTGTACAGAAATTATGGTTATTATTGGTATAAATTAAATAGAATTGATAAGACACGGAGAACTATCTTAATTTATCCAAACTGATGCTAATCTATTGTGAATTAAATCACTGATGGCCAGTATTCACGGGGGGTGTGAATGGTCGGCAGAGGATGCTCACTCCTTCTTGGCACTTGGTCCCACCTTTTATGTTTTGGAGGTCTGTGTTTGCTTTGCTCCTATTTTGTATTGTTTTATGGACTTTGATATTGAATACTGTCCGTTATCTCAATATCCTTCATTGATGCAACGCCATTTTAAAATTCATGCAACCTCCATAAATAAAAAGAAAACGTTAATGAAAATGTAGAAATCAGTTTGTACCTGTCCTATAGTTGTGTCTATTTCAGAAATCAATATGTCTTGATATTCCGGATTAGTTGCTAAGCAATACGCAGTAAAAGTTAAAACTGTGGAAGTGGTTTCGTATCCAGCTAAAATAAACATTATGCAGTTTCCATTTACTTCTTCAGTTGTAAGTCCTGTAAGAAGAATGTAAATCAACATTTTTACAATTTTTAGTTTGCCGTTAATTAAAGTACAGAAATACACATTGTATTAAATATACATAATTGAAGATTTATTCGATATCCTCTCATTACCCATATAATCTTTGCTTGTCGAATGAGATATGTATTTTGACTTTTCAAACAATAGTTTAGATTTTCTTACCTTTCTTTTTCCACTGTTCTTTATTGACTTTATACTCTAAATGCTGTTCAGTGTCAAACAGATCTGTTTCTTTATGGGCATCCAATAAACACTGAAGCAGATCATTTCTTTTCTGAAGTAGAAAAGTTATCATTTATATACATTGTACATGTGAATTAAAGCATAATTTTGTTGTGTCTGGATAAAAAAAAACAGCAAATATTTGCACAGGGTAATTGCGACAAACATGTTTTTCGTTTAATGAAAATATATGCATGCCAATTTGTAAAAGATTTCCAAGAACCCTTGCAAATCTAAAAGTTTCCTTAATGAAATAAATCATGATGTAAAAAAAGAGTTGTTCTTTTCAGCGAAATGGGCGAAAACAACGAAGAGTGACCAATCTCCATAATCTCATAAAGAATTGGAAACTCCAGGGGTCACCAGGGGTGGGATCAAGTACGAAGGAGGAGTAAACATCCCCTGTCAATCGCTCTCATCCGCAGTAAGACCTATTTCATATGTATCATACTGTTTTCCTTTTATCTCAATTGAATATTTGAATAAGGAGAAGTATGAAAACGTAGAAAAAATAAAAAATGCATAGTCCCTAAAAAAATAAGTTTTTTTCTCAAGAAAAGCAATTTTTTCAAGATTGTGTGGTATACCTTGTTGTCCACCCTGAGTTTCTTGGCTTGTTCCACCAAGTGTTTAAAGTATAAGCAGTATTTGTTTTGTCTATCGATGTCCAAATCTAACTTGCAAAGAAGACTGTAAAGCGGTGGCATAAATGCTACAAAATATCGCAAATCATAGTTTAAATAAAATCTAATATACAATAACGAATATTTTATCAAATTAAGTCATACTTTTCAGTTATTATATAGATATTTTCTGACCATTAATAAGTACTCCAAATCCCAAGAAAGCTTTGAAAATTCCTTTTGCGTTCTTCACAAAATCGTTTTCTTCCTTTTTATACAAATCTAACTCTATTCCAAATCCTATGGCGGCAACTGCATCCATTGTAAAGTCACCAAACATTCTTAAAAGCAGAATTCTGACATTTAAAATGAAAATTTTCTTTTTGTTCAGAAAAAGAATGCAATTTATTTTGCGAGTTCAAACTAAGGAAAAAAAAAACATCCTTCGTAGAAAAAGCCAATAAAAGATTTAGTTTTTCTAAGAGTTTATTTTCTCTGATTAATAAGCAAGATATTCACTGTAATTTTGAAAAGTGCAATTTCAAAAGTCCAGTTTGAACTTTGAAAGAAGTTTTGCTATCCCACTGTTTCCTTTCCTTTTTATTTTGTATGAAAAATAATATTTATTTGTTCTCTGGTCAAAAGTATTTTGACATTTTCATTTCAGCAGAGAGTTTAACTTCTAAAAAGTTGTACAGAAAATTCTAAGCCTGTCATTTAAACTACCGGTATAAGAAAGGTTAGTGTACGCATAAAAATTCATCAAGCCATATCACTGTTAGATTAATGTAAGCAAGAACATGTTTACCTTTTCATTATCAGTTTTATTACATTTTAAAATGTTATATCATGTAGGTTATATGTCTATTCCTTCTATTAGAATAAATATGATTCCCCAAAAAGAAGAGTGGTATTAGTACTGTAAATGCTTTTATGAAAATTTAATAAAAACTAAACGTACCTCTTAATGTCAATAGAATGTCCTTGTTTCGCATTATCATCTATGTGTTTTATTAAGCGAGAACAACACCGTTCAAGTATCGGTGACATCTGTCAAACCCAAAAGTGATTTAAATATATGAAAATGAATTAAAAATAAAAGATGTTTTTCGTATTCCCCCAAAAATTTTAACAAGCAATTGAATAAAGTAAACTTTGATAATTGTTTGCAAAATTAAAGTTTTGGAATAAATATTTCTTCTACCTGAATTATAATAATAAAAAAAAGAAAATAAAAGAGAAAAGGAGAAGACACTCTAATTGTTCTGAAAAATGTTTCAATGTGCCAATTTACATATTAACTAATTTTATGTTCCTCTGTTATTATGCAAGACCGAAGCCAAGTCAACTAAGCTAGTTTTTTGATGGATTAAAATTAAAATAACAACAGTAGTAAAAGTGAAAAAAATGTCATTTATTGAAGTAAATGACGCAAAACAAAATATAAACATATTATAAGGGGGTCAGACAAGACTAGAACAAACTTTGAAAGAATACAAAAATCTTTGGTAACATATTATGCAATCTGACCCCCTAAAATTACATATATCATAAAGCTTGTTTATGGACAAGTTTTTGAAACAATTTAAAAAATACATTTTGTACTGGTTATCTTAAATTAATTTAATTTTAATTCAGAAGATTATATTATAGATGTAGGTTCCTTATTAATTTGATAAGGTTTATAAAAACTAATATTCGAGGAAATTTCTGAAGAGTATGTGATAGTGTGTAATATGTATCTATATTCAAACTCCTAAATAACTTAATCTGAATTAATTTTTCTTAATTAAGATTTTTAAACATCACAATTTCTTTATCTCATGAAGTAAACCAGAAAAGACAATCAATAATTTTGAATACCGTTCGCATTTTTCCTGCAGAAAATATTGGAGAAATTAGATTTCTCATGAATCGCCAATGGTCGCCCTTAAGTTTGATGAGACCATATTGAAGATCATTGTGTCTTTTAAACGGATCCTGAAGAGAGAAAAACATTAAAGATGTTTGCTACATTTTAAACAAATGATAGCGTAAACAGGAAACCGCATTTATTTGGGACTTCCGTTATGAACACCATTAATTTGTTTTCTGTTTATAATGGTGTTTAATCATATTTATCAATAAATCAAAAAAATAAATTAATGCTGTTTAAAATCCTTAATAAATCATTTATTGATTAAAGGATAATATATGTCATAACATATAAAAAAGTGCTTTTGCCTTGATTGTGAAAACTTTTAAATGTTGATGACGTGTTATATTTTCTTTGACGTAATGAAAAGTGTACTCACTGCAGTGTTTGGAATGGTTGAGAATCTTTTGATCAAGATGTCACATGCTAACTCCGGGTCTAGTATCAGGAGAGAGGGTCTATGAAAAAGGTAAGTCCTAAAATACAATGTGATGACTCATGAATTTCAGCTCGTCTAAAAGAAATCAGTTTTGCTAACATTCAAAATTTAATAGATTTTCGTAATGTACATGCTAGAGCAGAACATTAGTTGAAAACCTGGAGATTTAAAAAAAAGAAATAAAATATATCAGAAATGACAGTTCCTTTCATAGTTATAATTAAAGCAAGACCATACTTAGAAATATACGAACCTCTCATATCCTATTAAAAGAAACACATGCGTGATTCTTGGCTGTGTATGGAAATATTAACTCACTGAATCAAATGACTAAAAAGGAGGATTTCCTCGGCTAAGCCACAAGTTTAACAGTATTACAAAAATGCTACATACACGTTCATTCCTTTCGTTTGAGAGAAGATCTAAATTTTTAATTAGTTAACAGATTAAGTGTATCGTAAGTTATAATTACAGTAAATAAATTAATAAAATAAACCAGAGCTGGGAGACTGAATAGAATGATGAGATTTGTGATATAGTAATTACATACCCTTCTAAAACACTTTCATAAGGTGTCTATATATACTGCAAAATTAATATAAAGTTACTTACCCCACTATCTTATCGTATGTTGAATGCATTTTTAGGTCAAACGCTCCAAGTCCCTGATTACATAAATGTAATAAAAAAGCTCTTGAATAGCACAGATCATATTTCATTGTAAGATCGTTAAACGCGTGTTTCTTCTTTTACAGTATTTTTTATCAAAATATAATGTAACAGACTTGCATTTTTCATCAAAGGAACGTGGCCTACAAAAAGTGTTGGTTTTGGATGGGGAACACCAAGTCTACTCCAAAAGCTCAGTTTATATTTTGAGTACCTGTGAACAGAGATTTTTCAAACATTCAGTTACTAGTTTGTCATTCCTGATTCACCTGAAACTTTAGTTGTTTTATGATCAAAAACGTACTTGGCATTGTCATCGTTGTTTGGGTTCTCGCTTCATTGAATACTCCAATGATCGTTTATAAAATTCAAAATCACACAATTTTTTATAGAAGTTCATAAACCCATGACTGTTTTACTTTTTATATAAGCATTCCAGGCGATAAATTAAAAAATAAGCATTTTGATATCATAGAAAAATGCTTCTCCTTAACAAATGGAAGTCAGAAATTTTTCATATCTTTTGATCAAGGCGTCGGAACCGGGTGGGGGGTGTAAATATCAGTGTCAACATACAAAGGAATCTACAGTGTAACATAGACGTAGAAGAAAAAATACAATGGATACGTCAATAATTGTATTGCTTGACGAATTGAAATCCTGACACACATTTTGCTTAAAGTTCAAATTGCATTCTGTTGTGTAAGGCTACCGATAATCGTTTATATGTATTATTGCTTTTTTCAGTAAATACTGTGTTTTCCTCATGTATTTTTACGAAGTAGAACTTAAATAATACTTACAAATAAAGTGTCAAGAAAAATAAGATCAAGATAAGACTCCACCCAGGAAGATTAACTAATCCAAGTATATTCATCTTAATTGTGACGGTTGTAAATCTGATATACTTCTAACAACTGACCCATGGAAATTACGGTTGGTTGCTTCAATTAATTCTTAAGAATTTGTTGACATTGATCATTGAAATCATTTCAATTTAATTATCCAATTTTTGATACCAAAATGGGAATAGAAATATTTTACTATCTCCTTGATCACTATATATTTTTGTAAAAACATACAAAAAAGCAGATTGATATGTAGAAACAAAAAGCCTATATATCTCCTAAATAGGTCATATTACGTCACGTGGTATCAATCTTTATCGTTGTTGTTATTAAAACACATATTTTGCTGTTCACATAACGTTTCAATGTTTCATTCAGGCATTGTGTGAAGTATACTACAAGAATATAAGTATTACGCCTTTATTCAATTTAAATTTATTTAAATTGCAATAATTTAATTTTAGTTGTTACACGTCATTTGATTGGTTAAACGGTTTTATCCATTTTTTATAACATAACTTGCCTTTGTCACAATGAGTTACGTCAAAAACGTATTACTCCGCTTGACGTTAACTTTTAAAATATGCGATATTTGAAGCCTTTTTCCGAAGGAAAAAATACAAAAATTGTCTCATTGTCTACAGTGAAATTAAATTATAAGGAATGAAGCTTATTTCAGCTTAAACGTAAACTGCCCCAAGTTATGTTATATCGTATAACAAAGTTGAAATAAGCTTCATTCCTTCACTAAACTTAGCTTTAACGAAAAGAAAGTGATGAAGCAAAGTGGCGTATTTGCCAGCAAACCTTATCTTTCAAAGTAGCTTTTTTGAATCGTGGCAAAAAAAAAAAAAAACGAAAAACACTTAAAGTAAAAATCTTTAATAAAGTATATATTTGATGAACCGTTGATGCTTGTAAAAAAACTCCACTTTTTACTGTATCTTGCGGTTCTCTTAAAAACAAAAAAACATGTCGTAAACTACATAAAATGTATAGGTCTATGTTTCAGCAAATCATCGTGGGACCGTTGACTCTGAAGCATCTTTTCGACACTCCAAAAATTAAGAATTAAGAACCCATGAGATTCTTCAGAAATAATTAAGAGCTTATTTTAGTCTTTCAATGATGAAATCATGTGTTAAAAGATAATCTTAAAACAACTTGTGAATAGAATCATAAAACAGACTTAAAGTCAAATTTTTAACCGCCTGTAAAATGTTTATTAATGATTGAACGAATCTCTAATTTTGCAGATAACACTTTTGTAAAGCAATATTAAAACATATTTTAATTTTTGTCTGCTTAACTTAATCAAAATCCTAGTACAATATGATTATTTTGACTTATCATAAAAATTTTGACTAAGGCTTAAGATATTTGATGATCCTGGGACCTGGTGTAACTTACCCAATCAATAAAACATATGGAGATAACGAACAGTATTCAAGCTCAAAATTCCATTAAATTAATACAAATCAGACGTAGAGCAAACACTGACCGCTACAACATCAAAGGTGGAATAAGGTGCCATGGAGGAGTGAGTATCCTTTGCCGAACAGTCACCCCCGCCGTATGCTTTTTGTCATCTCATGGTCGGACAAACGTAACAAAAAAAATCTGTAGACAATTCATTGAGTAAATAATGACCTAAAAATCTGTATGAAAATTGTCAGCCAGCATTTGACTTAACGATAGATTGAATTTGTTGACCAAGTCATTTTATCTACCGTAGACGTAACAAAATGACGACTTTAAACGGGACTTTTGAAAATATTGTTTTATCGCCTTATTTGCCAATAACTTACCTCGAATAGATATTGTCCATACGTAAAGAATTTCTAGCACATCTAATCAAGTGAGAGATGTAAACCCCATTTGAAGGTGTTTAGGGTATATTGCTGCATTAGAAGTTGATAATTGATAAGTGAAAGTCATCAGGTTTGTTGTAAAGCTTTATTGTTATGTTACCATTTTTTTTCTAGTAAAATATCCAAATATGAAATAGATGTGTCAGACTTTGTGGTATCTTTTATCTTAATCTCACTGCGATATATCGTTTTGACATTTGAATGGAAATAACCTTTATTAATTGATGATACGTTGATATATCTAAATTTTGATTTGAAAGTCACAGCGAGTTTTTCTTCCTCTCATCTATAAAATTTTGAATAAATTCTGCTCATACAAATACAAGAATAGGTTTATGTATATGTAAATCCTTGATATGTAAACATCATCAAGCAATCAATGCATCAAATATAACAATAAATGAAAGTTGTAAAGAGATAATTCTCCAAAATATTGGAACTTATATGCAAATAAAAGGAACGGTGATAGATTTCTACAGCATAAATATACCCTCAAGTACAAAATAAGACGAAAATATATCATAAAGTAAATCTTTTGTAATAAATATTCATATATAAATCATATATGAAAAATTATATAAATATATGAACGATCATGCTAAAACTGTTTACATGTATGTCGCTACATAGTATAAAGTAATTAATAATATGACAGCACATAATACAAAGCAATACATTCTTAAATAAACAAAATCTTATTACTTGTAATCTAATATATCAAACATAAAGAAGTATGAAAAGTCAAAGGTTTAATATTCCAAAATACTATAGAATTCCCTCATATATTGATGACATGTACATGTATATTGAATGCCTAAAAGTGACATTTTTTTCATATAAATGCGCAATTCTGATAACAGTTGTAATGTATAATCTCCATATGACAATCCAAACCCATGACGTCATAAAGGTCAAGGATAATTCATATTTATATAAAAATTTGTCTACATGTCGCCCTGGCGACCTGTCCACCTGATACAAAGTCTACTTGTCGATTCAATATGACAGCTGTTAACCAGACAAAGCCGTTTTATATACAAATTATCTTTTAAATTAATCTAATATAAATGCAAGATAAATATCTTGTTTTGTACATTTATGATCCTTTTGATATAATAATTGGTTATACAATATAGAATGCAATTGGTTTGTATAACTAATTCACCAACAATGGCCCTAAATATTCATATATATTTACATTTAATATATATGCAAAATATGCTAACTTATCTTGTTTTGTACATTTATGAATATAAATGAATATGCAAAAATATATATTCTTACGAGAAAAAAAATAGAACTATTTTTGTCTTATAATGCACTTGAGCCTATTTTTCTTTACAGAGTATTGCTATTTATATGCCATGTTTACTGAATAATCGTTGTTTATTACGTATACTTGGATTCTGTGATGTTGTCAAGAATATCATAGAAAATCTTGGCTTACATTAGAGTACGAGTCTCCAGTAAAGAAAAAAGAAACATGACCATAAAATGAGTAGACCCGATTAATGAACCTTTTCTCCAAAAGATCACATATAATATATAAGATTTTTGCTTCTCAACCACATGTTCTACGGTTATCTGGATACAAACTGCGACGTCTTCAAATTCTCGTAAATTTGTTTTTGATGCAGTTGTGACGTCACAGAAAGTATTGAAACCCTCTGCGAAAAATTAACAATTTCACAGTATGAGATTGCCTTAAGCACACATGATACAAACAAACTTTTGACAAAACTTTGGAAATAACAATTTGGGTCATGTTTTCATGAATAAAATGAATAGGTTTCACAGAGTAGTTTTTAATTTTTTATTCAAAGTTGCACAAAAATGGAATTTGAAGTGAAAAATATTTGTATAGAATAATAAAGATGGTTTTAGACGGGTAGAAATTTGAACGTCACAGAAGGGTTACAATTTCTTTATATTCTAGAAATTTATTATTTGCATCATTTGCAATGAAATTAGGTAAAAAAATATATACCAATCCAGGCATCCATTTTTTGTTTGTATCATCTGTCCTTAATATTGATTATTACTTTAGATTGTTTTACTCTTTTTTTAAGTTTAAGACGAATGTATCGGACCTATTATCACATGGAATTTACTCCTATACACTGTTCAAAATGTTCACAAATGTTCATAACTTTCGCGTTATTATAATAACTGTGAGAAGGAAAAAAATGTTTCGATAATCTGAAGTGCAAGAGATTATCGTTTTTCTATTTTCAAGAACGTCCCATTTCTTGGCTTCTGTTGGCCTTTAGAATCCATATCCATCGGAATCTAGAAAAGTGTAAAGAATATATAACTCTTAATATTACCAAAAAAGCATTGTAAAACACTTTATAAAAGATTTAAGTACAAGTAAACAAAAAGGTCGGAATTTATATCTCATGAAGACATAAAGATCTAAAAGCAGAACAATACTGCCAATGAAGTACGTGTGGCATTCTGTTCTTCCCCATTTTTTAAAAAATATAAACACAAAAATTGTACCTGTTGCATTATGATTGTAGTGCTCAATAACATTAAAAATTATACCTCGTTTTTCTCGCATGGCACAAATTTATATTTTTGAAGAATAGTTACAATGGCGCATTTAGCTTCCATATAAGCCAGTCTCATAGCGACACAATTCCTGGGACCTAGTCCAAACGGAAGAAACGTATATGGCGTCAGGTTAGACTTGTTTTTCACAAGAAACCTGTAAGATTTAAACAAATGCATTGCTAAAAAGAGGTCGTATTAAAAAGAGAATAAGATGAAAATACATTGGGGTATTAGATTAAATAGCCCTGTTTTATATGTCACAAGTTGATTTGAAAAATGACTGATTAATCAGTAAAGATAAATAATGGATACAATTTTGTATATTTGACTTAGGGATAGGAGGTACATGGGAATTAGTACCATAATTCTTTAGAAAAAAATAAATATTGATATTTTGAAATGAAACATTTTTTTCCACGAAATAAAAAGAATATGTCACCTGTCAGGGTTATATTTGGAAGGTTCCTCCCAGTATTTAGGACTTCTGTGAAAAGCATAAACGGGAATCACGATTTCTGTATTTTTGGGTATGGTGTAGCCAGCAATCTCCACATCCTGGGGACTTTCTCTATAGAGCCTAAGTAAACATACAAAAACATTTACGTTCATTCATAAAAGTTGTGTTAAAAAAAGTATCCTTTTCCAAACCAAGATTTCATGTGTAATATATATAATACAAAATCCAAAGACACTATTCAGATTCAGAGAGAGAGAGAGAGAGAGAGAGAGAGAGAGAGAGAGAGAGAGAGAGAGAGAGAGAGAGAGAGAGAGAGAGACCTTAGACCCGGTGGGTTTAAACGAAGTGCTTCTTTTATAACACAGTCTAAATATTCCATCTTCTGTATGCTGTCATAATCCGGAGCTTCCTTTTATGAACGAAATATGCATTATTTTAAAAGATAAAACATGAAATGAAATTATAACTATACTAAAGTAACTTGATTTTCTTTTATACCAATCTTCGAGGAAGAAAGATATATGTACACATTCAGTTGAAAATTAAAGTGTAGATAGAACCTGCCCACTACATAGATCTATTACTGTGTGATTGTACCTGTCCAATAGTTGAATCTATTTCGGAAATCAGCTTGTCTTGACATTCTGGATTTGATGCTAAGCAATATGCACTATACGTCATGGCAGCAGAGGTGGTCCCATAGCCAGTTATCATAAACGAGATGGAATTTCCATTGACTTCCTCTGTTGTAAGTCCTGTTGAGTAAAAATATACATAAATAACCTATCCTCTGACGTAAGCTTATGAATGGAATTCATTTCAATTATGTTTTTTTTTTAAATCAACAATGCGTACACTTCGATCCGTTCATACCCCTCTTTTTCCATTGATCCTTGTCATCTTTGTATTCCAGGAATTGTTCCGTGTCACTGACCTCGGTGTCCTTATGTGCATTCAGTAAGAGCTGAAGAAGATCAGCCCTATCCTAAAATTAGATTGAAACACGTCGGCTGAGTAATTACAATTTACAGAGCATGTCTTTAAAAAAGGATGTTTGGAAATTAACACCAAATGAGGGGATAAGGTTTGAAATAGTTACACAGCTCCTAAGAAATATAGTTGCATTTTTTTGAAGGTGATTTTTTTTCAATTACCTTGTCATTTCCTCTTAGTTTCTTAGCTTCTTCCACTAGTTGTTTGAAGTATTCACAAGCTTTCTTTTGACCATCTATGTCCAATCCCAATTGGCATAATAGATGGTACAGGGGCGGACAATATGCTGAAAAATAAAACAGTGTACCTATAAATACAATATTTCTGCAGTTACATGTGGTATAAATCTTTATCGTTATCGCAGTTATATACGTTTTGTAAAGCTCAGCAGCTTCCACATCACAACAAATGACAAAACGTTATGGTAAGCGAATATCCTCGGATAACGTATAGCTATAAAGATACAGTATAATACAGAATTAGTTGTTTTAACCATTTATACGTGCTCCTAAGCCTGTGAAAGCAGCAAAGAGTGTATGTGCATGCTTTGCAAACTCGTTTCTTTTATCTTTATACAAATCCAACTCGATTCCAAACCCAATAGAAGCTATTGCGTCCATTGTAAAGTCTCCAAACATTCTGAAATAAAAAAAAGGTATATGCAAGTTGAATACTTGAAACATTTTATACATCTACATTATCTAAATTTTGGACCAAAAAAAGGCCCATTGTATGACTATATTAATATGAGCATTTAAAAATCTCCGTCATAACATTTCGTTGAAAATGCCGAAAGGTTCTGAATCTATTTTACATTGTTCTGAGAAATAACAATTTTCAGCGTGTGTATTTTCCAGCATACCAAATGAAGGTATGATTATGCTCTAACAATGAAACAAAGCATTTTGTTTTTAAAAAAATGTTTTCTCAAAGACATATTTTTTTTTAATAAAATCAAGTCATCATAACTTTTGTCATTTAGATTTTAATTGAATGCAGCTATTAGATCATACAGAAAGAAGTTTACTTATATTTTTGGTACTTTAAAGTAGAAATGCAAATCAGATTTAAGTCTTACTTTCTAAATTCAATAGGATGTCCACAACTCATTTCGGTCTCAATATTCTTTAGTAAATTTTCACAAGACTTTGCAAGTATTGGAGACATCTTTAAAGACACAAGAATGATAAATAATAATTTTTAAAAACAAAACTAGTACTTTTATGTAACATTTTCAGATTTTCTTTTTATAGGGGTTTAACTACTTTCAAACTATGGCATGTATGCAAGATTTGTCGTCTGTAAATTCAATCAAGTTTAAATCTTTTGTGTTGTTTAAATTTCATGAATGCTGAAATACCCTTCTAAGATAAGACCCCCTCTCCCCCTAAAAAAACTTGTTCATTTGTCAATTGTTTGTGTAGATCCTTTATTTTTATCTTCTACCTCCCAGTGAAATTGTCCTAGGGCACACATTATATAAAAGTGACTAACATCCGTCTAAATACTCAATGAATAATTTGCAAACAGACAGACGAGTGAATGAAAATACTCCCAATTCTTATATTCAATATCCGGTCTAGAGATAGATATATTCAAACAGACGGTTGCCATTATCAATTTGTAATGAATAATGAACATTTTTAAAAAGAATTTTAAACAATCCCAGTCAATCTATAAGTAAGTGTAATATCAACTTATAAATAAGCTATGTATATATAATTTTATTGTGTCTTACCTTTCTCATTTTTCCAGAAGAAAAAATTGGAGAAATCGTGTTTCTCATGAACCTCCATTGATCTCCCTTTACTCTTGTTAGATGACTGCCAAAATTCTTTGGTCTTCTAATTATTAAATTATCCTGTAAACCAAAGCAAGAAAAGGCAAATTCAAATTCAAAGCTGAATTTATGTGAAAAAGTGTTTTCTTTCATTCTCTCTCTCTCTCTCTCTCTCGACCAATCGATCGATTGATCGATAAATCGATTGATCTTGATCAATCGAAACAATTGAAAAATATATGAATTAAATGCGAATAAAGATTACTGAATTATTGTTGACAAAATGTCTTTGTAAAAAAAGCTCTATTATTGCGAAGACGATAATACGAGTAAACCTGTCACTTCAAGTCTCTTATCCTATGAATTGTCAAAGGGAAAGTTATGATTTATTCCTGTATTTATGTCTTGTACCTAACAGGTTATAATCTGAAAACCCTGGTCTACAGTTTGATGCATTTATATAGGTACATATTCAATAGCAATAATTAAACATTAATTTGTTTTAATCACTTCTTGCCATGGCCTCTTCTATTAGCAGCTTCTCAAGTGATAAAATATAAGGAGACATAGAAGAGATAATGAATTCTTAATAAAATAACCCCAGAAAACTGGATAGATAACTCTCTTGTCTTGGCAGCATAATTATAGCCAATTTCCCATTGTGCCAATTGTGTATTCATTTAATAGTACGTGAATCCTAAACGACGTCGATAAAAACCTCTTTAAAGCTACTGTATTTTTGTTGCTGTTGAAACCTGTTTAAAATAAAATTATCTTACACAGTAAGATAAGGTTTCATTAATACTTGCAATACGAAACTTACTTCATGTTATGGAATGGCGTCAGTGATTCTTACCGGTCTATTAGGGAATGTTGAAAAATCCTTGATCGTGATATCTCGTGCCAACTCTGGATCCAGGATCAACAGGGACGGTTTGTGGTACATGTATATACTATAGATTGCTGTCAAGTATATGCTTAGAAAAAATAAGTATTTTCTTGATTTAACACTTTTTTAATAAGAACAGTGCAAGACTCTTCAATTACTAAAATATCTAGTGTTTAGTAGTTTAGTAGTAGTGCTAGTTGTTTTTGTTTCTCTTTTTCCTTTGTTCTTATGACTTTTTAACTTTTTTCTTTGTCTTGAGGAAGGGACAGGGCGTCCCGAAAATTTGACAATTTTTATTGTTCGTGTCGTTGGTCATTTTTAGTGCTTTATATAAATTTCCATCCGTGACCTTGTATCTACTTGGTAGATCCGACATTTAGGATATACAGTGTTGTTGGTTTTTAGTGCTTTTTTATTTTTATATATATATATATATATATATATATATATATATATATATATATATGCTAAAGCTACTTCTTTTCAAGAAAAAAAAATGAGAGAGTTAACTCCAGTTTCCAATTATTTCGCTGAACATTAGACATCAGACTGGCCTTTGGTTAGAAATATTTAACTTATCTTCTCTATCAATAGTGACAAATCGTTAAAATTGCACCAGGTCTATATATTAAAATTTCCAAAATAAACATTTGGAATGTATTCCCTTTTCAACCAACCAATTTAAAATTATTTTTGTTGGGTTCCTATTTATCCCAGTATCCGGGATTATAAATTGTTAACGCATTTTTAAATACATTTTTAGGTCACCTGAGTAAACTCAGGTGACCCATTGCTACCTGTTTTCGTCCGTCGTCGTCCGTCGTGCGTTAACATTTAAACATTTTCAGCTTCTTCTCTGAAACCGCTGAACCAATTTCAACCAATTTTGGCATATAGCATCTATGGATGAAGGGGAACAAAAATTGTGAATTTCATGGTCCCTGCCCCCCTGGGGCCTTGGGGGTGGGGCAAAAACCCCTAAAATTAGTGCAATCTTTAAAAATCTTCTTCTTTGCTCCTGGACATCAAGCAGTCAAACTGTTTGTATGATTGTAATCAGCATTGAGTCCTCTACCAAAATTGTGAAATTCATGGCCCCAGGGTCAGGGGTTCTGGTGTTAGGGCGAGGCTCTATTGATTATATAGTGAAAATGCATCAATTCTTTGAAAATCTTCTTCTCTGCTCCTGGGTATTAAACAGGCACGTAGCATCGTTTTTGAAAGTGGGGGGCCAACCAGAGAAAATTTTTTTACTTACCTGAAAAAGTTGACAAGCAAAAAAAAAAAAAAAAAAACGAAAATTAAAAGTTGCCCAAACTCGAAAATCTTTTTCAGAACTAATTTACTATCACTTCCAATTTTTTCCCTACAATCCTTGATTTCACTATACTATGGTATAAAGTGGGGGGGGGGGGCAACCATCCTTTCAATGAACATTTACTATAGTAAAGGTATTGTTGGGGAAAAAAGTGGGGGGGGGGGGCAGCCCCCCAGCCCCCCCGGCCCCCGGTTGCTACGTCCCTGTTAAATAAACTAATTAAGTTCATAGTTATGATGAGCAAGAGTGCCTCTACCAAAATTGTGAATTTTATGGCCCCAGGGTCAGGGGTTATGGTGTTAGGGCGGGGCTGTATTGATTATATAGTGAAAATGCATTTTTTCTTTGAAAATCTTCTTCTCTGTTCCTGAGTATTAAATAAACTAATTAAGTACATAGTTATGATGAGCAAGAGTGTCTCTACAAAAATTTTGAATTTTATGTCCCCTCGGTCAGAGATTCTGGTGTTAGGGCGGGGCTCTATTGATTATATAGTGAAAATGCATTAAATCTTTGAAAATCTTCTTTTCTCCTCCTAGGTATTAAATAAACTAACTGAGTACATATAGTCATGATGAGCAAGAGTGCCTTTACCAAAATTGTGAATTTTATGGCCCCAGGGTCAGGGGTTCTGGTGTTAAGGCGGGGCTCTATTGATTAAATAGTGAAAATGCATTTATTCTTTGAAAAGCTTCTTCTCTGGGTATTAAATAAACTAATTAATGGCATAGTTATGATGAGCAAGAATGCTTCTACCAAAATTATGAATTTTATGGCCCCAGGGTCAGGGGTTATGGTGTTAGGGTGTGGCTCTATAATGATTATATAGTGAAAATACATTACATCTATAAAAATCTTTTTCTCTACTCCTGGGTAATAAGCAGATGAACTATTTATATGGTTATGAATTGTTTGAAATCTGCTCCTTGGTATTAATCAAACATTTTTGATAAGCAAGTGTGCCTTTTCAAAAATCGTTAAATGTGTAGACCTAGGGTCAAGGCACTCCTGATTATTGCTGAATATTACTGATTAGTTGACATGCATTTTTGTTCCCCTACCCTGCTTATGGGTATTAAGTAAACAAACTAAACAATTGCTAAGTGTATAGTTATGATTAGCAATGGTGCCTCTTTCAAAATTGTGAATGCCATAGCATCTAGCTAGAAACATGAACCAAATTCAATCGTTTGAAAGTTGTTGCATGATGCTCAGGTGACCTATAAAGCCCATGGGCCTCTTGTATTATTAGCAACTAGCAGCTGTACCTGTGTATATTGCAACATTTTTTTCTTTTCATTTAAAATAAGTCAACATTTCAAATGCAATGGAACATTCTCATTGAAATTTCATATAAATGTAATATCATAAGGTAAAAATTAGTTTGCAGAACACTTAATTTCCACTTAAATTACGACCGTGACATTGGAAAAAAATGTGCATATGATAACAAAGTTTGCGACTTTATCAGTCGCCTTTATCAAATGAGTAGTTTTATTTCCCTCACTGGAATTAAGGTATGTCACTCGTCAGCTTTTTAGAATCCTCTTGCTTCAAAACTATTCATTAATTTTCACACACACTTTTTAAATTCAACATTGTTAATGTTTCAACATTCAACCAAAAAAAATGCTCAAAAAGCTGCAAAGAAGCAAGATTTATGAGGGACTATTTTTTGTGGTGGAAGGATATTTAGCAGATAATTCTGCAAATCTGCACATTTATTAAATTTAATATCTTGGAACTTTAGCCTCACATACTTTTACTCGGAGAATATTTTCCATTATGATATTGCTAGGAATATTTAATATAAGTCTTAATTTATATTTTTAGAACAAGTTTTACACCTTCCTTCAACAAACTTTGCCAGAAAATGAAGATATGTCAAATAAGTCTAAATAAAATTTATACCATTTTTCGCCTGAAAATCACATATTTTGACCATTATTTCAAAATTAACATCACTGACACCAACTTTTTCTTTCATTATTTTAAACAACTCGATACTTGTGACTGATCAGCACTTAAGACGTAAAAAGTTTGATACAAGAAAATATTTTATTGCCTATTTAGATTTTAATACCCCAAATATGTTACTTTTGAGTGCAAAAAGGTCACATAATAATTTACGCGCATTAATTTGCAAGATTTTTTCAATGATAAATATTATTCAAACTATTTTAAGTAAAATAAAATTATATTTATTGGCATGGTTACATCTGATAAATTATGACAAAGGTTAAAGTAATTTACCAAAGAGTTAAAGTTTAAGTGCAAAAAGGTCAACTTAATTGTACCGTAGATCAGTAAGATGCACACTGACCCCCTATTTTCTCTGCGATTTTGAGTCACACTTTATGAGTACTTATCCAAAATATACTTCTCAAAAAATCCTTGATTTAACAAATTTCATGAGTGACATACCTTAATACAGGATCTCAGCATCTTTGGTGTCATTACATTCCATCCAACTGTTTTGTTTTTTTTAAATTTCAGTGAACGATATTGCAGGCATATTGCATATGCATAAATATGGGAATTTCTGCGAAATATTTTCAAAGGGTAACCTCGTAGTTTTAGTCCGATTTTATTATATCTTGGCCCGCAAGAAAACTACACTGAGATACATAGAATGTCTTTGTCGCTTTTGGATTTTGATGAATAATGTTGCCATGGATATTAAAATCAAAATTTCTGTAAAATTCTTTTAAAAGGCTACTCCTCCTACAGTTTTAGTCTGATTGCAATAAATTTTGCCACAAAAACAGACTAAACCAAGCCGGGAACCGTATCCTAGTCATTGCTGCATTTTCTGCACTAAGCGGTAGAGATTCCTTTTACAGTGTACATGACGTACATGACGTTTGTGATAACAACCGTTTTTTTTCGCCCTGCACTCTTCATTTTTCCAAAAGAATTTTTGCGGAGAATTTCCTGTAAAAGTTTCAATTGTGAAAAGGTTTAGGCATATAATGTGATACAATATATTTATGTATATTGTTCCTCCGCAAAGTGCAAGACTTAAGATCAGTTTCACATATCGTGTATTTACTTTTATTCCACCCGAACAACTTTTCAAATACGCCTGAACGCCCAAACTTAGATTTTGGCGGCATATTGCCGACCCCAAATAGACACGCCAATAATTTCCTTAGAACAATTAACTGAGAATTGTTAAGTATTCATTTAAAATAATTTTTAGTTGTTATTCGGTATGATTGAACGATAGTCGAGTACTACCGCGCGGCGAACTGGTTAGAACGCGAACCAAAATAGCAGAATAAATAGACAAAATTTTCGATGATCTCAACTTCAGGCCCAGAAGGGCTATTAACAACAATTATAAGGAATGTTTTGTTGTGGAAACAGCGAAAGAATATGTTAGGAACACACGGTTAATAATATTTTGAGGGACATTTTAAAAATCATGGAGAAATATATCGAGAAACAGCGCACTTTTTTGTGCGCAATAAATATACAGTTTTCTCAATGGGTGGCACTGTTGCTCTCCGGTCTGTCAATATGTATTTTTCGGAGAGCTACAGTTCTGCAGCTAGGCCTGAAGTTGAGATCATCGAAAATTTCGTCTAGTTATTCTGCTATTTTGGTTTGCAAGATAATTCGGTCCAATGCGCTTCGTGCAGATGTCAACTACGAGAGTACCTGATAAAGGAGTAAGGAATATTTTGAAATTTAGCTTTTTCGCAATAGAGGTAAGAAATAGGAAGAATTAATCCGGAA